AATGTCAGAAAGAAACTCTTCTAGAACATGGCCAATTTCATGATAGTTTTGATATTCTTATGGACTGTTCCTCTCCCATCCTGGTGATCCCCCAAGAAGCAATAAGTGTAAACTTTGATTGTGTGTGTGCACGTATGCATGTGTGCGTGTGTGTGTGCGTGTGAGAGAGAGAGAGAGCATACGCCCATGTGGATCTGTGCTTTTTTTTGTGCAGATGGAGTTTTGAATTTTCCTCTTCTGACAAACAGATGTTTATTCAGGCTGTAGTGTGTACAATCTGTATGTACTTTTGGGTTGGCAGGTGGTGCAGGCTCTCCTGAATGTTTGTTTTTGAGTCATTTTGGTTAACAAACTAGTTCACAATATAAAAAGTTGAGCTGTCTACTGATGTTACAGAAAATTCCTGTTTTTTATCCCTTTGGGTGATGCATTTTTGGAACCATTTTTTCTTCTTGAGAACACCTATGTGGAATGGCTTGCCAGAAAGAAGATGAGGGGGGAAAGGAGAGGAATGATGAAGACTGTAAAAGTGTGTTCACAGCATGAGGAAACAGAATGGCAGAACTTTGTGTTACTGTACACCAGCCAAATCCTGGCACATGACCTCATCAAGGAGGAAAACGTCCCACCTCTGGGAACTTCCTTGCCCAGATCATTTCTAAGTGAAACTATCATGCTCTTTTTGCAGCTAATTTTTCAAACAGCATTTGGTTGTTAACTGCTTGGAACAACTGCTTAGAGCAAGAAATGTTTTTCCCCTCCCACAGCTTTGCTCTATGTTTTCTAGAATTATGTATTTTTGAAACAGATTCCAACAATCCAATAACACACACTGAAACACAACATCTTATGAAATGACAAGAAAAAGAGCTCTTTTCGCTTGCATACTGCAGAAATGGATAGCCAGTAAACTGATCCATTTAATTCAGGAAAAAAACTGGGTTGAAATAAATCAACCTGAAGAACTGGATCGAAAAGTTTCTGGTCACACTTGGAATTATTCCAGGATGAGCAAAATATCATATAGATTTCCATCTATCCATCCTCCCACTCATCTATCCATCCTTTTATTTATATCTCCCAGGCTGAAGAGATTATCACATTAATTAAAAGCAACTTATCCCCAACGTGATACGGTTGCATTTAGTTTTAATAGTGGGTGCTATCGCATGCAGCTGAGGCCAGGCGACTGCAACCTGTATGCAGCCTAGACCACAGCCATGCTTATCTGTTGAATTTTCCAAAACAGGAGCTTGCTGTTTTGAACATCCACAGAATAAGTGTAGCTGGGGTCTGGGTTGCATATGAGTTGCAGTCGCCTGGCCTCAGCTGTGTGCAAAACACCTGACTGTATCCTGTTGGGGATAAGTTGCTTTTAAATGAATGTGATAATCTCTGTAGATTCAAGGTGGTTTACAAAGAGGCAGAAAACTACAATAAAAATGCATATAGTTAGAAACATTAAAAAATAAGATCAAAACAATAATAAAAATAGAATTAGAGACATTTAAAATATTTATTTAAAACAAAAATTAAAAACACTTGGGAAGGTGACAACCAGTCAGGCCTTCCTGGCTTGCTGTTGCAGACCTCTGCCCCATGGCAAAGGAGAAGGATGAGTGCCCCTCTCCCAGCTTGCCATGGAAGTGGAGGCCTCCTCATGAGGAGACCTCTATTCCCATGGTAATGGAAAGAGCTGAGCATGCCCTTTTGGTGACCACCACCACCCCAGCAGCTCCCACACACACACTGGGTGACACCAGGGGTGGGAACATAAAAATTAAGCCTTGTTAAAAATCAATCTCCAAATGCTTGCTGTGCGCTATATTTCATGAGCTGCCATAAGTCAACAAGTGACTTGAATGCACATACACACAGACAGAGCTGGATGGATGCTTTGTCAGAAGATCTAATAAGATCCCTGTATTACAGCTACCCAAATAATGCCTAAATTGCAAGATTGTGAGATCCAATAACAAAATAAGGTTGGTGTTACCATTCTGGTAAGAGTAATATTGGAGGAGTTAGAATCTAAAAGGTATACAGAAAATGAAGTTATATCATTTCAATATATTTCAAGACATATTTCTACTTCTTTTGTATGCCACTGGGGTGTTCTCTAGTGTCCTCTCGAGTGTCCTCAGAAAAAATCTCTCAAACTTCACGCATTCCAAATTAACAACAGGAGTATTTGTGGAATAGGAAATACAGAGTATCTTATCTTATCTTTACATTTCTGTATACAATTGAAATTGTAACAATAATTTTCAAACACCCTATAATTTCCTTGTTTACAATACCACTTTCTTTTCTAATTCTGATGTGCCAACCATATAATAGCATATGCTAGACCTGGTTTATAGGAAGCATATGGTAGATATGGTTTATAGGAAGCTAAATTTTTCACATAAAACAACCTGTAGGCACACTATGCAATTATATAGTAAGCCCTTCCGCTAAGTTCACTGGGCCTAATGTATGAGTTTATGATTGCAGTCATATGAAGTCATTTTAGCAACTGGAATACAAGGAGGCTGTGCTTTGCCCTTGTTAAATCTTTGCCTTCTGTTATATCTGAAGCTTAATAAGGCATAGTTTGGTAGAAACCATTGAGTCTCTGATTCTGGGAATCTTAGAAATAACCATCCAAAAAGAGTTTAATGGGTGGGTGGGTGGCCAACTTGTAGCAGATACTATAAGTGGCACATGCAGTGAAAATTTTTGACACTTGGACCTTGTACACTAGTAGTAAGGCCTATATTATTATTATTATTATTATTATTATTATTATTATTATTATTATTATTAATCCCACCCCTTTATACAGTCAGGCACCTGAACTACCTCCTGTACTGCACTTCCTTTTATGTCCCAGCTCAGTATAGAAAAAGCAAAATGGAGTATGTGCTGAAAAAGAAGGAAACACATACACAAGAGAGATACCATGTCATATTTTGGTCTTGATTAGTGGTAATTCATCAAGGATGGCCATCAGTGATTTATTCTCTTGGACTAATCTAAATACTTGCAACCCCAAACACTTCCTGCTCTTTTACCCAAAATGTTCTCACACACAACCCAGCGAAAAATCATGCAGAGCTCTTGCATTGGCTAAAAAGTTTGTGCCATCCTCTTCCCTTTGTTCCTGATGTTCCACACAATGTACAGGTTTAAGCATCAAAAGAAAGAGGTAAACCAGTGGCAATGGGAACAATTGCCTTACCAGCAATTGAACATGTAGTGGGCAATAGAATGACAATAGAAGTGCACCCTTGCACCAATGCTGACATTGGAGTGTGCACCAAATTTGAGGCAAAAATTGTAGCACCCTTCTAACACAAAACAACTGAGAGTTTCCTTAGATAGTTTAGACTGAGTTTAAATAAGGTAACAGAAGTACTGTAATAGAACTAATTAATAACAATAACATTATCTTAAGATAATTTTGATTATACAGTGGGCCCTCTATATTCATTGGGGTTAGGGACACTGAACCCATGTGAAAGTGGGGAAAATACAAATAAAAATTATAATTTTTTTACTTGGGAACACCTCTCTAGGAATTTCTAGATCAACTCAGAGCAACTCTATGGTCAACATCTGCTGGAAGCTGACCACAGAATTGTGTTGGAGAAACTATAAATGCCTAGAGAAATGTTCTTTCTAGGAATCTCTAGGTCCTCCAGCATGACTTCTGGCAGACGTTGACCACAGAGTCACATTGGAGGACCTAGAGATTCCTAGAGAAAACATATTAATCAAACCTGCAAAAAATCAAATCTGCAAAAATCAAAACTTCAAATGTGGAGGGCCAACTGTAGTGGCAATGCATCATTAGGTTGCCTTTGAAACCCACAGAACACCACATTTGAAAACAAATTTAAAGGTTCTTGCTTAGGCAAACTATCTGGAGTAGAGGGGGAAGGAATAAAAGCTCCTCTTCTTTGACTTGGAACTGTATGCCCAGCCAATCTTATGAATCAGCATGTCTGTATGTTATTTCATGGAACTCAGGAAAAACATACAATAGAAATGTTGTCTGTGAAACCAAAGTGGAACTTTCCAGATCCTGCCAGAATCTGCTGGCAGCTATGTGTACATAAGCTAAACCCTTGCTGTCATTTAGATTAGCAGACAGTGTGATTTGGACTCATCTGTGCTCTTTTGTGATGAGAAAGTCCTCCCCCCATCATATTCCTGCTCTGTTTAGCTGAGTAAGGTTCCTCAGGGGTTAACAGCTGCACAGCCAGATGTCCACATTAGGATTATTCTAAACACTGTATAATTGGCAAACAATACATGGGTTAAATGCAAATCAGTCTGTGCAGGGCTGCAGAAAAAAAACATGTTAACACAGAGACTAAAGAAGAATAGGACAGTTGAAATCCACTAAAGTTAGTGACACATGTTTAAGGAAAATAAATCCTGTTACATTCTATTAGCCGTTATCATGCAAGAGGAAAAATTACTTCCTCTTCATTGCAAATCAGTGCAGATACTTCACATACATTAAGCACGATGTGTATATTACAATACACAGATGCCGTCAGCGGCAACCTTTTGCAGGTGCCCATATGAACAGCACAGCCTAGGGAGGTTACTGTATATACTCATGTATAAGTCTAAAAAATCAACCCCAAAAACTTGTGTTGACTGTACATTAACCCTTATCCAGAAAGGAGCCATCTCCTTCTCTGAGTAGAGTGACAAAAGGTGAGAGTTTAGTCTGTCCCAAGAGAATCTACAAGAGGCATAAGCCATCTCTAATCTCTCTGCTGCAGCACTATTTCTGGCCTTTTAGAAAGTCTGAGTGGGAAAATTGTGATGGCAGCTCTCTGGCACTTCTCATCAATGCAGCACTGAGAGAGTAGTGGGTGTCAGTGCTTCTTTTAGGTTCTCTTAGGATCGACTAAACTCTTGCATTTCACCACTCAACTCAGAGTAGGGAATGGTTTCTTCTCTGCTAAAAGTTAATACTGTAATCTTGCCTTTATGGTGCAGCTAGCATGGTATAGTGGTTTGAGTATTGGACTGTGACTCTGAAGACCAGGGTTCAAATCTCAGCTTGGTCATGTAAATCCACTGGGTGACTTTGGGCAAGTCATATTCTCTCAGCCTCAGAGGATGGCAATGGCAAACGCCCTCTGAAAAATCTTGCTACGAAAACCCTGTGATAGGGTTGCCTTAGCATTGCCATAAGTCAGAAACAACTTGATGGAACACAACAACAGCACTTGCCTTTACATCCTTTTTGATATGTGCGTATTTTTCTATCCCCACCAGCACCTGATCACCTCCCTCGCATATCACATAGCCACCATTTATTGTTGTTCCCTCATCATTTATCCAGCCTTTAGGGTGAGCACAGTTATGCCTGCCCAAACTTTGTAAGTTCTTCGGCATCATTTGTCTTGGCTTCATCCTTTTCAATGTAAAGTTTACATCTTTTGTTACATGGCCCTGGATGTATCTATGGGTCATATAAAAATTCATAATTTTCTCCCAAAAACCTGCCACAACTTATACATGAGG